CCCCAAAACCCCAAAACCCCAAAACCCCAAAACCCCTTATTATCCATCTAATATTGATAAAATGGAAGTCGATCTCATCAAAAGAATCAGGGCTAAGAAAAGCTTAAAAGACTGTAAATTCTGGGTAACTAGAGGATGGTGTAGACATGATGATAATTGCAAGTTCATTCATGATCCAGACAAACAAGGTAAATTTCTTCGATACACTTTAACTTTGGAAGAAATATAAATATCTATATAGCTCCAGTGAAAACTATTCCCTTCCCAAGCAAAGCTGCTGAAAAACAGTTGGAAGGTTCGCCTCCAAAATCTCTTCAGTTATCTAAGAGATGCTTTATGCCACCAGTTCGAACTTTAAAACCTGCAGAAGAAGAGTCAAAGAAAGATATATAATAAAATCATTGTTAAAAACAACTGAAATAACTTTGCAAAGACTTAAAGAATGCACTGCAAGTGATATTAGTGGGGCTCCTCTTACTGATCCTTGATTAACCCCTTCAATGCATATTGCAAACAAGGATGAGTTGCTTTCAGGAAATATTGACCACAAATTTATGAAGGTTAAGAAATAACCTCCAGATAAATTTTGTCAAGGAGTTTATCAAACTCAGAGATAATCTAGTCATAATGTACAATTCAGACAAGGTAAGCCTAATACATAAGCTTCTAGGCCAGAGTTGAAACTCTGCTTCAGAATCAGAGCAATGATTTTCTCAGTAAGACTGAGGATGAGAAGATCCAAGATTTGCAGGAGAGAATCAACACCAAGGACACTCGTATCTATGAGCTTAGTCTAAAGATACAAGATTTGAAAGGTATTTCCTTGCTTACCTGTAGATCACTCTATTTCTCAGATCCAGCTGGAAGATGCGAAGAAAAAGATCACTAAACTTCTGTAAGATCTAACCTTTGATGTTTAGTTTAAAGAATAAATAAACTTGAGGAGCAAAATAAAGAATTTCAGGCTCTACTGAAAGAAGAGTTGGAGAAACCAAAAGACATCCTAGAAGAGATGGTACTTGAAAAGGATGAAGAAATCTGTCTGCTGCAGAAAAAGGCAAGTTCAAACTCAGGAATTCAACTCTACAGTAAGCTCCAAACTAATTTTAGATGAAATAAAGCAACTACTATTCTGTGAAATTCAAGAGAAACCTCTTCAGAAGGCCTTTATTGCTCCTTCTGGGAATACTTACTGTGAAGAGGTTATTGATTTCTACATGAGTAAGCCCTTCAGACCTGACATACAAAAATAGCTGCTAACCTCGTCTTATAGATAAACCAGATCCGAAAGACAGTGGCAAATTGATCAAAACTAAAACCAGAAATCTCCTTGTCGAGGAGATCTATAATTGCGTTCAGGAGTTTGACAAAAGTTTCCTAAAGGATTAGATCTTTACTAAAATTTCAATGCAGTTAGAGCCTAAAGGGGTTTTGGGGTTTTGGGGTTTTGGGGTTTTGGGGTTTTGGGG